GTCTGCCAACAGTGGCCAGCACCAGGTGCCCCAGAGAGGGTGGACTGAAGACAATGATCAAGCGATTTGTCTCCTGCCATCCCTCTCCAGCCTCTGACAAACAGAGGCCAAGGACACCATTTTATCCCCTGGCTAATAGCCTTTTATGGACCTAACCTCCATGAATTTATCCAGCTTCTCTTTAAACTCTATTATAGTCCTAGCCTTCACAGCCTCCTCTGGCAAGGAGTTCCACAGGTTGACAACACGCTGTGTGAAGAAGAACTTTCTTTTATCCGTTTTAAACCTGCTACCCATTAATTTCATTTGGTGTCCTCTAGTTCTTCTGTTTAGGGAACTAACAAATAACTTTTCTTCATCGGCCCTCTCCACACCACTCATGATTTTATAGACCTCTATCATATCCCCCCTCAGTCTCCTCTTTTCTAGAGGGATGTTTTGCCAGTGAGGGGACCGGGCTGATTCTTCTGGCCCTCTTCTCCCAGGACAAGTTCCTGTGCTCAAGAGACTTTGGTGAGGGACTTGTCAGAGGATTCCGGGAAGTGCAAGGACCCCACAGCCAGTGGGTCCCCCGTGTCCACACGCTGGTTCACCCCATCAGAGATCTCTAGTCGCCTGTGGGGCCTGGTTACTCCTTCCAGAAATCATGTAACCCCAACGTGCTGCGTTTGCCTCCCCAGCCCATTGGGGATTCCTGTCACTAGCAGCTGCAGGTGGGCCGGGGTCTAGCGTCCCCCAGATCATCGCCCACATCAGACTGGGAAGGTCCCTTGGCCGACGAGGAAATGTCTTCGGGCAGAGTGAGGGGGGTGGCTGATGGCTCTGGGACAGGGCGTCACACCCAGCGGCTGCCCACGGTGTGAGAGCCTGGTTGGGCTCAGGGTCTATCTCTGGGAGGCGGGAAGCAGGTGGAGCGACGGTAACACTCCCTGTAATGCAGCAGCTTTGTCTTAGACACCTGCTGCTCCAGCTGTAGGTCACTGACGGGCAGGAGAAATCTGATCCTTCCTGTCCCCCAGACCCGCCCTGTGACGCAGGGGCAAAGGGTCCCCCTGGATGGGAGATGCAGACCCTGGATGAAATGCACATGCTGCAAATGGGGACTAGGATTCAAGGGGTCTGACTTGCCCTGCTGGATAACCCTGGGAAAATCAAGTCACCGCCCTGTGCCTCAGTTTTCTCATCTGTAAAATGGGCAGAAGTACAGGCCTCAACAGGTCATCTAATCCAGTCCTCTGCATTCACAGCAGGACTCAGTGCTGCCGAATCCATTCCTGACAGGTGTTTGTCTAACCTGCCCTGCAGAATGACAGGGATTCCACAACCTCGCCAGGCAATTGATTCTAGTTGTTAACCACCCTGAGAGGTGGGAGGTGTTTCCTAATGTGTCTCCTAAACCACCCTTTCTGTTTGGACAGTCACCAGAAGTTGGGAAGAAATTTTTTTTTCCCTCTTCTTCCAGGAATCTTTTAAGTACTAGATATCTGTCATCATGTCCCCTCTCAGTCTTCCCTTTTCTAATCTAAATTAAACTTTTTTTGTTGTTGTTTAACAATCCATCTCCTGTGCCCCATTCACAGCTTCTGGCAAACAGGCTACAGACACCGTCCCGGCCCTTTCTGGCTAGTAGCCCAGTCAGATAGACCAAGCCTCCTTCAACTTATTATGCTTATAATGGATCCCTGTTATAGTCTGGGCCTGTCCATCATCCCCGTGGATGAAGGGGAAAAAACATTTGTTTTGTTTGTTTTAAATCTGCTGCCTGTCAATTTCATCAGATGAGCTTCATGTGTCATGTGAGGGAAGGGATATCTAGTTTTCCACGCCATTCATGATTTGCTAGACATCTAACATATAGGCCCCCTTGCAACATTTCTCTTCCAGGCTGAATCCCCAGCCGTGTCAATATCTCCTCATATGAAAGCTGTTCCTTACCCCCGTCGGGGACTCAAACCCGGACGGCATCTGTTCGTTGTCTGACCACAAAGAGACAGGGAACACCAGCAAGATCCAATCACAAGCTCTTTATTGAATAGTGCGCACTTACAATAGAGAGCGGCCCGTCTCCAAAGAGAACCAGCCCCGATTTCATTAACAGGTAGGCCTATATAGACAGTTCCATCATGTCACAGACTATTCGCCCAAGCAACCCACCCCCCTTTATCAGTTAGAAACTTTTAGTATCCATGCACACCTGGCCAACTATACATCATGGCCTTAAGGAATTCATAATGCATCAGCAATTTCTTATCAGCCCAAAAGACAGGTACTGGGCAACAAGGAGACAGTTTGCTATGGCCAAAGGAGAACATAAACAGGGAGTTTGGAACAAACGGGGAGAGCAGAAACAGGGAGTCTCCTAATCAGGTCTCAAAACAAACTGTTCCTCATCACAGCAGGTACAAAAATGCAGCTTCTCTCCAGTTCTGTCCAGGGACTACCCAGAAACCTTTGTTACATTTGCTTTAGCACAACTGCACTAGGCCTAATTTTCTAGGGCCTAACACCCCTGTAGCCGATCAAGTTACGTTCCTATTGTGCTAATCATACGTTTGTGTTAAATTAAATTAATTCTACAGTCCTAATCATCCAAGTGGCCCTTTCTGTACCTTTTCTAAGCCCAGTCTATCTTGGTTTCGATGGGGTGACCGGATCTGCAGACAGTCTGAATGACGTGGCGTCCCATGACTTTATCTAGGGGCAGTAACAGCAGGAGTCCAAACGCAGTCCCCTGCCACACAGCACTGTGTATTGCTCCTCTTTCCCCCTCTCTTGTAAGTGGAGTGCAGGGCAGAGTTTGGGGACCAGCTAAGGATCCTTCACGCACTTGGCTGACCAGCTGTTTGTTAATTTCATCACCTGCCTCCCTCTGGCAGCACACAAACTCCCTGCCCCCAAGGCAAAGGTGGAAGCAGCTCAAACCTTGGAGCTGGGACGACATCCAAATTGACCCCCTGAACCCCTATAAATGACACCTTGACGGGAGGTGGATTCTGCGGGCGCAGCTCTGAGCTCTAGGCCTGCCCCCACCAAGGGCAGTGACTGGGAGTGGGCGGCTGAGACGGGTCGGGCCTGTTTTGGGGGGTTTTCCCCAAATGAACCCCACGCTCCTTCCCTCCCTTAGGGTCTGTCTACACTACAGCGCTAATTCGAACTAACTTAGTTCGAATTAGTTAATTCGAACTAAGCTAATTCAAACTAACGCATCCAGACTAAAAAACTAGTTCGAATTAGCATTTTGCTAATTCGAACTAGCATGTCCACATTAAGTGGACCCTGAACCGGGGTTAAGGATGGCCGGAAGCAGTGCCGGCAGGGCATCAGAGGAGGACTTAGAGCGTGGAGATGCTGTCTCAGGCTAGCCGAGGGCTGTGCTTAAAGGGTCCCGACCCCCACCCCGGACAGACAGTTCTCAGGGGTGCCCCGCTTGCAAAGCAGTCCTGGCTTGGATTGCCCGAACTACCCACACTGGGCACATCATACCACTCAGCCATCAGCCCGGCTGCACTTGCTGCAGGCTGCCATCTGGGGAGAAGGGGAAATTGGGGGGCTGCAGGAGAGCTTCCACCCCCAGAAGCCCGCAGAGCCATCCCAGTCCTCCCCATTGGGGGCTCGTACGCCGTTCCTCCCTCACCTCCTTCCACTTACCCTTCCCTAGACCCCCTTCCTGATGTACAAAATAAAGAAAACGTGTGGTCAAAATAGTAGATCAGAGGTTTGGAACAGGTCCCATATGAAGAGAGGCTAAAGAGACTGGGACTTTTCAGCTTAGAAAAGAGGAGATGGAGGGGGGATATGATAGAGGTCTATAAAAGCAGGAGTGGTGTGGA